ACTCATGATTATATTCTGGTTTCTCAATGGTTTTTAAATGGGAATGGACTTGGGAAAGGAGTGTAGTGAGACTGCCTGGATGGGACAAGGACTCATCTCATTCCAAATAGGAGTGCATTAACTCTGGAACCTCTCTATTCCGAGCTGTCTGATTCTTTTAGGAGAACGGGCAAGCTTACACTCCCTAGATCTGGAGAAATGGAAACGAGAAGATTATAGACTCAGAGAGACAGAAAGGAGAAAAAGGAGTTTGGGGTGTGAGATTGTGAGAGAGATAAGGCTGGTTAGGAAAATAGGTAGAGAAGATGGTAATGATATATAGCAAGAGAAAAGAGGTATGTAATGAGAGAACTCTTGATGATTTGCTTATGTATAATGTGTATCTGAGAAACTTCTGTTATTGTTCAATCTGCTTCACTACAATAAATTTCTGCTTCTGTTCACAAGACAAGTATTCTGACATACATCATTTAAATTGTGGATTGAAGTAATCCACTGGTGGCAGCAAGAGGAAAATGTGATGTTTTCCCTTTGTGAGGGAAAAACAAGCAGGAGCCACAAGAGCAAATGCCACACCAGCTGACAGCTAATAAATACATATATACATCATAATAATTAGCTGAAGAGACCAAATCAATAAACTGTTAGATATTTGTTCCAACTCTATTTTTATTACTAGAAATGCAGAGAGCTGATAGAAAATTTTCTGCTTCCTGTTCCAAAACTGGCTTTGGGCACTAACCAGCTTTGGGCACTAACTCTTGGGTGGATGCTACTACACCTCAGGTGGCTAAATGTCCTAAACTTTTATGGGGCTAAACCCTACTGTTAATCACGACTTGCATCAATGACTCAAATCATGATTGAACAAGTTCCATTCTTTTAGTGGGTTTACTCTATTTTTGAGTAAGAATTGGATTTAGACCACGGTTTTCATTTGTCCAACAACTTACCTGATCTTTAAAGTGCTTTATGTTATTCAAACATGAAATACGGGTATTCCTTACACAATTCAATTCTAGATTACATTGACTTGAAAGCTGAGTCCTGGAAATTTAAATAAACTTAATTCTAATTGTGCTTATTATCAAGTGTGGGAAAATCTCAGTATCCAGTGTTTCTTTAAAACATGAATTTGGGAAATTTTAGTTTTAATACTTCAATTTACACTTGTTTATAATTATTAGCTATTTGTGAAAAATCAGGAGATTTCACTCTTTTCAGTAATAAACCTGCCTTTAGGCTTTTGTCAGATCTCATATGTGAACACTGAAAGAACCTGACTGAGAAGCCATCCCAAATGCAAGTCCCAAACAGCTGTTATGTATTCTACATTCCTAAAAATCTGTTGTGAGTGTAAATTGTCTGTGCAGCTCCAAAAGGAAAAGCTTTCACAAAACCCAAACCCTTCTGTGAATAAACTCGACCATAAAATGTCTCACTTAACCAAACTTTATAGATACAAAATGCATTTCGGGAGCAGGCAATGTGGCTGACCTGGGGTTAACCTACATCCTGATCCATAGCTATGCAAACCATTTGCAGCAGCCTGCCACTGGCACCAGGCGCTCTGTGGTTCCAGTCTTTCCATTTCCCCATTATCTACCCTAGAAAGCAATTTTTTTTTCATTTCAGTTGAAAACCTCAAAGAACCACTGGAGCCATTTGAGGTTGGAAACAAAATTCCCCAGCTCCCCATTTCTTGTAAAGTAGTTTCCATTTATCTGTTTTGAATTAATAGGATAAAAGCATCATCTGCAGACAGCTGTTCCCACAGAGAGATGCAAACTGTATGGCATGGTTCCCTAGTTAGTGTTGCTTGGGCCTTTTTTGCATTTTGAGAGGATGTTATTAGAAACAAAGAGACATGTGAGGAAATTAAATGCAGTGATCAGTTGTGGGATTTCCAAAGAACATTATGCTTTTGCTTTTGTTATTGTTAGCCTTTGCCATTCTTTGTACTTCAGGATACATGAATGGTCATTTCATGGGTCTGGCATTTTAAAACAATTTTTCAGTAAGATGCCCATGAGTCCCTCCATTGGGAAAGCAGCAGCATATGAATGAAATACATACAGACACCAAAAAAACCATAACGTGCTCAATACGACAGTGTTACCAGTGCATGATTACAAAGTATTTCATACCGATTCCCAAATCACTCTTGTAGAAGTTATTTGACACCTCTTAGTCAGGAACTCTATTTGCATTTCAATATACTAATTAGTGGCATCCAGGATACAGGACTCAACAGAAAAAATGTTCCTTTTACATATGTATGTATATTGGCTTATGCAGCTTTCACATGCAAGAATGCATCTGGAAGGAGACACAAACACACCACCCATCTACTGATATCAATTATAATATTATCTGAAAATGTTACATTGTTTAGGAGATTTAAGTTCAAATCTCCACTTGGCTCTGAAACTTATTAGGTGACCTTTAGCCAGTCGTATGTTCTGAATTTCTCCTATTTCACAGGGTGGTTGTGAGATAAAATGGGGAGGGGGAAAACCACATGCAACACTTTCAGCTCATTGGTGGAAAGACAAGATATCCATATAAGAGACAGATACATAAAAAAGGAGTAAAGTGACCTCCCATCATATTTTTCATGCTTCTTTGGTCACACACCAAATATACTCTACGAAACCAAACAACAAATTACTGGCTAGGACTAATGGAAGCTGGAGCCCCAATGTATCTAGAAAAGGATTATGACAGCATTTTACAGCCCACAAGAAAATGGATGTTTAAAACAAACAAACACTGGTCAAATTCTGGTCCTGGAGTCCTGAAAGAACAGTTTTTACATCAGCGCCCAAATAAGGCCATCCACCCAAGAATATTTTTTTGAAAAGCAGAAATGCCAACCCAGACATTCCTTATTTTTCCTTCCCCAAAACAGTCAAAAATCCACCATTTCTGGGCTCTATGAAGGCTGCAAAGTGGACTGTGGACACAATTGCCCCCTGAGCCCCATGATCTTGTCAACGTCTGATATGGAAGTAATCCAATAACAACTGGAGGTCCACAGCTTCCCTGTTTTTTTGCGACATCAGGTTTAACACCTATATGAAAAAAAGTCTTCATTTGCAGTATCTGAAGTTCACAGCATCTGTCCTCCGTTGATTTAAGATAAGTGTTAAATTAAGATGTTTTAAATGATTTTTAAGATATCTGCTATATTATAATGTTTTTATTATGTGTGTAAGCCGCCCTGAGTAGACTTTGTCTAGGGGGGCGGTGTAAAAATCTAATAAAATAAAGTAAAGTAAAGTAACCTCTGGTGTCTTGGGCTCTTTCTCTCTCCCCCCTCTCTCTCTCACACACACAAACTCACACTCACACAGATGTTCCTAGATGCTGCCCCTGAAAAGGACCAAAGCTGAGAGGTGCAGAAGCCACCTTTCAAACTAAACTTATAACAGGTAATGCCAGTGACACTGTCATGGATTGATTTATGTGGATTAGATCTTGTACTGAGGATGAGATATGTAGTAGTGAACAATGTAAAATGGATTCCATATTGGTTCTCTGTATAAATGATTTCTGCATGCTGACAGTGTATTTCTAGAGGGATGTGGGAATGTTTTCTTGTAGGCCTGAGGAGGACATTCCTAGATAAGAAGACTGGGTAATTGTTATGGTGTCCCTGCAGATGTGCTAAGGAAAACAACATCTGTTTCCCATGAGAAGAGAAAAGAGACGATAAGGAAGGACTGTTTACCTGACTTTGTGCCTTGATTGGATGACAGCGTGAGAGACGGAGAAGAAGGGGGGTTCCAGCGAAGCTTGGAAAAGGAACTTTTGCTAAGGACAATATTCCTGATTTTTCTTCCATTCATTCTTTGATCTTTTGGACTACCGTTTTTCTAGGTCTTGTTGCCTGCTGGGCAGTGCAGGTAACAGACTGATAGAGATGTAGGGGGACTAGGTAGAAAGGGGGGCTTTATGCCTTTTGCCCACCCTAACAGAGCTTTTTAGAGATTTTCTAGGATTTTTAGTGTTTTTCTATTTAAAGAGAATTGTTGCTTCATTTTTGTTTTGTATCAAGCCTTGAAAATGATAACATGCTTCCTTATGCATTAAACTGACTTTATTTTGTGAATTTTTATATTTTTCTTAATAAAATAATAATTATAAAAATCAATTGGTCTCTTGAACAGTGTAGCTGTGTTAGTATTACCCTGTGGGGGAATTTGGGCCACATTTAGCTACTGAGTCCTACCCAGACTGAGCAAACTGGGTCTACTGACTTCATAGCTCATGTGTATTTCTTTTTTGGAATTTTCTAGGTTGCTGAAGTATCTTTTTAGGGCAGACTTGTAAGCAGAAGCCTTGGGGCAGGCCTTGGCTGTTGTTACCAGGACTCGACACAGCTGAATGAGGGAGCACAAGCTTCTAATTACTCTCTGTCCGACTGGTCAAGCATCCCTTAAGGGAGCTGATGGCTTACAGACACAACAACAGTTCCCATAAAGACAGTGTGTAAATAAATGTAGTCCTTAAGGTTTCTGAAACCAAGAGCAGTCTGAGGTGCTAGAAATGAAACCAGTCCACCAGAATATGGAAGAACAGGGCAGACAATGGGGGCTGGGACTGTAAGTGATGCATTGAGGTCTGATGCTGGTGCTGCTGCTGCTAGCACTATTACTCCCACCTCTTGCTCATTTGTCTTCTTGAAATGTACAAGCAATATCAAGAGTGATGAGCTGTGTAACCACTTTACGAGGTTTTTACACTGGGCTCAGAGAGAGGGGCAATGGAACAAAGAGGTTAGGCACTGTTCATGAAAACAGAGGCACTGCTAGCATCACGCCCAAGGGTTATCTGATGGAGAAGGGAAATAAACTAAGAAGAAAGAATCAGAGAGAAAGTAGCTGTTGAAAACTAAGAGAAATGAGATGTGCGTAAAAGCTGGAACCAAAAGGGACAAAACATCACAGACTGGTCTAAAGTAAGCCATACACAACAGTTGTTACAGCTGTCCTTACCTGAGATGAATCTGCTTTGGCAATTTCTACAGTGGTAGCCAGTACACTGTGGAGGCTGTCTCCATTTTCTTGAACAAGGAGGTAGGTCAGCAAAAGGGAAACATGGGCAGGGACTTGAGTTGTAACAGGTAACACTGACTTCAAAGAAGACAACCAGTCAGTCACAAAGGACATATCGTTCATAAGCATAAGGATCCTCCAGGTAGTATGCAGTGAACCATAAGCAGTGGTGATGGGGAAAAAACGCTCACAAGAAGCCTGAGGGAAATTAAAGAGGCACATTAGGAAGATGAAAAGAAACATCAGATGCAGAATTTGGGATCTAAGTCAATGTGTGGAATGGATGACAAACTAAGACTCGTTGAAACACAAATAATCTCAATTCATATTCTGAGTAAATTTCTAAACTACCACAGCAGAATGGGAACCATCTGCAAATGAAATGGTCAACAGCAACACTGCTTGTGTTTTGCAAAAGGATCTTTCCAAATAGGTGAATATCAATGTACAGTGGTGCCTCGCTTAACGGGTGCCCCATTTAACAACGAATCCGCATACCAATGAAAATTTTGCCATGGCTTTTGCCATCGCATTGCGATGTTCCCTATAGGAAAAAATTGCTTTGCGATGATGGCTCCCCCCCCTCATCGCAAATGCCCCATTTTGCACAGCTTGCAATGGGGGGGGGGAAGCGATCGTCCCAGAAAAGAGCCGGGAGCCATCTTCCCCACTCCAGCCCCTCCCCTTCCCCGCCTTACAGCTGATCCACGGTGCTCTTTGAAGCTTCCGCAGCAGCTAAATAGGCAGGGAAAATGCACTGAGGAAGCCTCTGAAAGCTGCGCTTTTCCGGGGTGGGGGCCCGGGTGGGTGGGTGGCAGGTACAGGCCTGCCACCACCCCCGCACCCCCCCACGGCAAAGCACCGCTTTCAGAGGTGCATTTTCACTGCTGAAAAAAGCCCCAGGAGGCTTCCGAAAGCGGCGCTTTGCCAGGGTGGGGGTGGGTGGGGGTGTGGTAGGGGCAGGCCCGCCCCCCGCCCCCTTGCACCGCTTTTGGAAGCTTCCTGGGGCTTTTTTCAGCAGTGAAAATGCATCTCTGAAAGCCCCGCTTTGCCGTGGGGGGGCTCGGGGGGGTGGCAGGCCTGTCCCTTACATTTCTCTCACTAACTCAATCTGACTTAAACTCTCTAAATCTTCACACACTCTGACTGAAATATTGACTCAGGCTCTGCCCCTTATAGCATCTGTCTCGTCTCCGCCTCTCTGCAACATTAATATTCATAAACCGAAAATGGCGGCCGGATGGAGGATTCCCCGCATAGCGGTGAGTCCCCCCCCCCCACATAGCGATGTTTCCAGATAGCGACGTTAATCCTGGAACGGATTCACGTCGCTATGCGGGGCACCACTGTATATGTTCACCCAACACAAATTAGTTCCTTTTTACAAATGGTACCTGCATTGGATATAGAGATGGACAAAGTCACCCTCCAGATGTTTTGGTCTGCAACTCCCACCACCCTAAGCCTGTACAGACAATAGTGATGAACACTAGGAGTTGCAGCCCAACATCTGAGTAGCCCATATTCAGGGTCAGCAGGACCAGCCTTACTGTTAGGCACAGTGGGGGAACTGCCTAAGGCAACAAATACAGAGGGCTGGGGAATTGTGGTGAAATGCTGGAGGACAGAGCTGTATAGCTTGCCCTCCATCCCCACCCAAGCTAGCTTGCTACCCTTAGGTATGTTGGGGGACATCATGTTACCAGTGTTGAAATAAAATTTATTGGCTTTTTACATGGAATGGGAACAGGGGAAGTGTCCATCTTGTACTTCCCTCAGACATCAATTTCAGTGCTGCCCCACCTCAGCCTCAAGTTACCCCTAGCCAGTCAATTCATACCTGTATTCTTACCAGAGATGGAGGTTCAGCAGGGCTCCAACTGTGTCCCTCTTTCTACACAGTGTGTTTGTTTGAATGTTTTGCCCCTGTATGCATGCACAGTTATGACTTCTGTCCCTAGCACTATCTATCATCCTGATTTCATCTACCAGTTCTGTATCTCTGCCCCACCAAGAACTATGGGCACCAGCTGCCATTACTCTCAGGTATTAAAATATCTTCAACTAGGCCTGCAGGTCAGAATGGAAGCAACATCAATCGATAAGAAGAAAAGTTAAGCAATGAATAGGCAACAGATCAGGTGTGAACCGGAAGAGACACAGGACTAAGGAAGGCCAAACCAGAGAAAGTTCAGAAGAAGCAAAAAGTATTTAGACAGGGTTTGTTACAGAAAAGAATTCTAGGTGGTCCTGCCAATCAGTTTTCCAGCATCCTCTCCTTATTTCCTTGCATAGGGCCTACTGAAAGACTACAGCATGCCATGCCTCAGGAACAACAATTCTCAATGTAACTAAGGCACAAACTGGGCCTTACTTCATGAAAGGAGGCTCTTTGCTCTCAAGTTTCCAATCTTCTAACAGGTTTCAAAGCAATAAGCCTGAGCCGTTCTACGGAAGGGCACATGCCTGTTTTAATTATATTGCTCAATGTAATGTAAATTCATTTTGGATAATGGGAAGTATAATGCTCCTGTACTTTAAATGACCTTTTAAAAAGCCATTTCATGCAGAATATTTTAAAACTGCTTTCACCCTCTGTTTATAGCTTTCAATTACTACACAATGAAAATTAAGATCCAGCCACCTGCAAAGTTGCTACATTGACTGACAGAACTGCTCAGAGGTAAATGCTCCTTTTTCACTGCTCCCAAAGGACCTCTACAGTCTGCCACCATTTTCATTCTGGTACCCACAATGTGAGCACAGGCGAGTTAGTGAGGAAGATTTTGTGAGCTTGTTTTTGCAGAAACTTACTGATACAAGACAAATCACTGCTTTAGCCCCATTGAACATAATGGGTCTGACTTCTGAGTAGTCACACACACCAATGCACTGTAGGAGTTCTCAAAATACCACCTTCAGAAGATGACAGGACCTGCACCCCACAAAGACCCCCTTGGGTACAGTTCTGCAATGTGATATATTCTAAATTATAAACTATTACATTCACGAGCAGGGGAAGGGGAAGCATACTTTGATGGCCGGTTGCTGGTGGGCCCATTTGTGTCAGTAGGCATAGGCAGGGCTAGCTTGATCAGGCTGCAGAACTGTCAAATAACAATATATTTACCATGTTGTTGGGGGTTTTTTGCAAGTGGTGTTTTCATATAGCATGTGATTTTTCTTTGGATTTAGCTTTGCTTTGTGATTGCTCATTGAAAGTCTAAACACGAAACTTGTAAATCTGCTGGCATAGATAAGTCTGAGGAACTACAGCTGTGGGATGCAGCATTCATTCAGCATCCTTTTTAACATATAGTTTGACCCTAGCACGGCTTTTCTTATGTTCTTAGGGCCACAAATGCTATGCTGGATTAGATCATGGCATAGCTAAGTAATTCATTTCTGATAGTGATTAAGCCAGATGTCTCTGGGGGGTCCAGGAGCAGTGTACGAAGGCAGCAGTTTTCTACCACTATTATTTCCCTGGAACTAGTAATTTAGGGACTGTTATCTGGCGTGCTGTGGTGCATGGGGTCACGAAGAGTCGGACACGACTGCACGACTAAATGACGACGATCTTGGAAGGAGAATATAGTCAACATTAACAGTAGTCACTGACAGCCTTGCTTTCTAATAATCTGTCTAATGCTCTTTTAAAGCTGTTGAAGGTGATGGCCACTAGCACATGCTTTGGCACCATGTTCTCTACATGTGTTTCATTTGAGCATGTGACTGTGGAGGAGGTAGGGTGGAAACACAGAACATGATCACTGAGGTTACCTTCCTTTACAGACAGGTTAATATTTTAAAAGTCTATTATCAACAATCAAGTTTCAAGGAAAGCAAATGCTGAGATTGACAATTAAAAGTTTCTTAGATTTACCCTGACAAAAAAGGCCAGGAAATGGTCTGGAAACCTCGTATTCTAATGAATTAATGGCAAAGACAAAACATGAACCAGGAATAGCAAGCCTCTGGTTTACTGATCAGACTCTTACCCATGATGGTATACTGTAGATTGTGTTTCAGTTGTTCCTGAGGCAGATAGAAGCATTTTAACACAGAGGTAAGAAAAGTTTAGCCTTCTAGATGGTGTAGGAAAGAGTTCAGACACAGTCAATAGTGAAAGATGACCAACATCCAAAGGCCCACAAGTTCCCCACCTCTGCTTTACTGGAAATGACAAGTTGACCACCTCTGATAACAGGAGTACATGTAAATATTGCTTAAAGTGCCAGAGGGAGTGAATGCAAGCAACAACTAGTTTGGGTACTTATTTATATAGTCCACTCACAGTCTGGCTCATCCTTCCATCACAAGAAGAATCAGTGTTTACTACCAGTTCTCACTCATGCAGCACTAACGCTTGAAGGGGAGAGCAGTTTGTAGTAATGAAATACTACTATTCTCCACCCAGCAATCAGAAAATAGGCATCTGAATGAAAAGCTCACCAATGGCTTTTTCTCATTTATGTTTTTCTGTTGAATAATTTCTAGGAGATCAATGGTCAGCTGCTGCCTTGTGGTGCCACCATCTTCCTCAGCTATGCCATCTTTCACAGCTGTCGATGAGAGTATTTGCAGGGCAGGCATCATCAGGGTGAGAGGTGACATTAGAGTTATCTTGATTTTAGAACAGGAAAGGATCTTGAGGGCTAGAAGGGGGAAAGTGTACATTTCCAAGCAGAACTTTAAAAAGTTCTAAGAAATACAACTTGTGAAGTGCTGCCATTGTCCAAAGAGAGCTACCAATGAGAAATAAAACAGAAACAAAACTAGAAGCCAAAGTTCAATTCATAATAATGCCTACAGTAGATCCTCCAAATTAATGGCATTTATGTAAGTTTTGACTTACAGCAGTTGGTTCAGTGGACTACTCTATTTGGGATTACCAAATGACTTGGAATCTTCAGCTCACTTTTTGTCTAAATACAACACATACAATCTGTCAATCTTATACTGACACTGAAAGGAATTCTATTGCATGTCCTATGATTAATTCTAAAAAGAGGAAAACCTCTAAAAATAAAGCTAACATATACATCATTAGTGAAGAATCAAATACTGTAATGGAAGAACAGATACTGAAGACACCACTAGGCAACACATGAAATTCCTTAATTACATACAAAAACAACAAAGAGTCTTTGGGCACCTTAAAAAAATTACAGGTGCCACACCCAGGGAGGCCAAGAGGAAATCCCCACAAGAAACTGAATCTTTTTGTCTGTGGCACCAGAATGGGCTCCTGGTAGACCTGTGCCAGGCCCCTTATCTCCCAGCTTTTTTCTCAATTTTTAAAAATTATTTTCAATGGGAATAGGGTTATGGGGAGGGGAATTTAAGGTTGGGGGGTAGGTAGGGATAGAGAAAGGGTAAAGCTCCAGAGGGTGAGATAGTACATTTGCATCAACTTGTACAATTATTTATGAAATCATTGCCTGTTTTTGAGTCCCTTTTAAGGTAATATTCATTATTTATTTCTGTTTCCTCCATCTCTGCAACTTCCCATGTCTTTTCTGTCAGCTCTTCTAAATCTGGAATACCTGTTTTCTTCTAATATTTTCCATCTGATAACTTTGCTAAAGAAATTACATGCATTATCAAATATAGTGGTGCCTCGCAAGACAATGTTAATTCGTTCCACGAAAATCACTGTCTTGTGAAAACATCGTCTTGCGAAATATGGTTCCCCATTGGAATGCGTTCCAATAGGGGGGAAAATCGCTGTCTTGCAAAAAACTGTCCCTAAAAAAAAGAAAGTCTTGCGAAGCACGGATCAAAACATCATCTAGCGAAAATCGCCCGTAGGGAAAACCATTTTGCAAAGTGCTACAGCGATCGCAAAAACTCATCGTCTTGCGAATTAACTGTTTTGTGAGGTAATCGTCTAGCGAGGCATCACTGTACTTCATTTCTCCATCTAACATCTCAGGCATAATATTCAATAAAGAGAAGATGAAAAAAGCAAATCTAGTTTAAATGTTGTCTGTCGCGTGAAATAGAATATTTTTCAAATATTGCACCTACAATAATGTCCTATATATCCACCAAACATGATAAAAATGCCCTCCTCTGTTTTACATTTCCCACACTATTTAAAAACATTGTTGTACCTTTTAAAAAAACTTTGTTAACATTATGTACCATCAGTAAATCATGTACCATCTATAAAACATCTTATCTATTTTATTTAATAATAATAATAATAATAATTTATTGTCATTGTAAGTATATACACAGTATACCCATACAACGAAATTCACAGACACCCAGAGACCAGACACATGCACACACATAACATTCCCCAAACACTCCCCACCCACTAAAAAATCCCCCACTAAAAATACAAACATCTACACCGCAGGCCAAGTAACACAGTCCAACTAATTATTCACTACTGGTGGTCTTTAAGCTCATTATTAATTGCAATTATAGCTCTAGGATAAAAACTATTGAGAAAATGTGTGGTCCGAGTCTTAATTGTTCTATATCTTCTGCCAGATGGTAACAGTTCAAAAAAAGTTATAAGCAGGATGGGAAGAGTCTCTCAGGATGCTGTGTGACTTCCTTAGACAGCGGGATGTGAAGATGTCATCCAGGGTTGGTAGCTGGAGCCCGATGATATAATATATGATGATATAATATGATGATATAATAGTTACTGACTTTTAAAGATTTATATTCTCCTACCATTTTATATTCATTTTATCCTACAATCTTTAACCACTTCATCTTTCACATTCACGTTTTATTCATTTAGTCGCTCTTTATTGTTGAGGTTTTCTTTCCTTCTCCTGGATCCTCTTGTTTCAATAGTGCACTTTCCTTCAGAGCTTCTCACTTGCTCTTCTACTCTAGTCAAGCTTCCTTCTACCTCTGACCCTGATGATCCACTTGATTTCTCCTCTTTTCGTTTCTCATCTGCTTTTTTGTCTTCTTTCCAGCCCACCCACTTCCCCTTTGTTTTCATAAACTCTTCTGCCTTCAATTTTGAGTTAATATAGTAACTCTGCTCCTCGAATTCAAACCAACACCTTCAGGCACCAACCACTTATACAGTAATGAGTTTGTTCTCAAGAGGGATGTCAATTTCGCATGTTGCCTCATTTTCTGCCTTATCTGCCACAGAATATGTTCCAAGATCTTAATTTCTTTATCTTTTCTGTTGGGTTCCTTGCCTTGCATATTTCTTAAAACTCTATCTCAAAAAATCTTTTTCGTAAGTTTAATATGAATTTCTTTGGGGAGATTTTAATTCCTGTTGTATGCTGTATTAATTCTTCGTGCTGTGGCTATATTTCGTTGAACATCCTCTGGTTGCATCTCCATGTGCGATGCTAAGTAAGTAGTAATCACTTGTGCTGTATCTTCTTTTTGTTCTAGTTGATTCTGGAATCTGAGTATGGCATTGGTTCTTTCCATATGTAGATTTAACAAAGTAATTAAATATTGCTTGCTTTCCCGTTTTAGTTCTCCCATCTCTGTATTCATGGTCTCAGTCTTTCTTCTGTTCTTTCTGATGTCCCAGTTATTCTGGCTATTTCTTTTTTATTTTCTGTAATTTGATTTTTAATATCAGTCATTTGCATCCCCAAGTCTTTCATTTGTACACACAGCTGAGCCATCCCTCCTTGTAATTTCTGTAGCCCTGTAGATAGCATCTCTTGAATACTCTGTTGTCAGTCCATAAAAAAATCTTGCCCCAATAATCCACTGAGATTCTGTTCTTGTGCCAGTGAGCCTCATTCGAGTTCGCTCTTTTGCATCTTTTGTCACCACATTTTTCCCTTTCTTCCTAACTTAAGTAAATAAGGGATGCTGTTTAAGTCTTCTGTCAGCAGATGTCACTGTAACCTTATTTTTCTTTCTCAATCTTAGGTACTGTACATATCAGAACCAAGAGGAGCTGGAGCTTCTCTCAGGGTAGAAAATTCTCACAGTCACCAAGTCACAACAATAAAATTTAAAAGACCCAAAATGCTTTGAACTAAATAGGATTTGATATCAATATCTCAGATAGTCATGGGAATGAGACTTTTATCTTAGATTGATCTCTTTTTGTGACAACGTAGTTTTCTCCCCCTTCTCCCCTTTTCTCCTCGCCTCTTCTCCCAATCCAAGGTGGATCCAAGTTGGGGGGTGTCACTTCTACCACGACAGTAAGATTTTTAAAAAAGATAAAGTCCATTTTTCTGAATCTTTATATCTATCTCTTTGCTGTGTAGTTATTTGGGTCCAAGGAGATTTTCCTTACATGAACAAATATTTTAAATTACTCAAGAGTCCCCAGTTGAGATATTTCCAACATCCTATGTCAAATGAACTTGTTAGTCTTTCGGCTGCCTATTTGTTGTTGCTTCTGAATTAGGCCAACTGGGTTATCCTCCTGGAAATGTATACTTTGCACAAGGATGAAGTGATAAAGGCATTAAGCAATATACACACATACCTAAGAACAGTCCTTACACTGTGTCTAGAATTTTTTTAAGATGAGATCAAACACACAGCATTAGGAAAATGATAACATCTCAAAGCCATGTCACTTGTTCAAAAGGACCACATGGGCCATCCTCCCTGCTACTACAGCTATTTTAGATTCAGCTGGGTGGGATCGTGTGCATGGAATGTTCTTCCACAAACACCTCATGCTAGTGAGTAGGGATCAACAAACATTAGCTTAATTTTCTTACTGTCTTCCTATATTCTACACACATGTTCTAAAGCTGCATTACATGACCTGCCTGAGTATGCAGATGAGTTCCAAGACTACAATTCAAACATATCTGAGTGACATAACTACCTCCACATGGAAACAGAATTGCATGGAGCACTGTTTGAAAAAAAGCTGCTCCTATGGTGGCCTGAAGAATGTTCAACAAGAAAGCCACACAGACAGGAATCAAAGAAGGATTTGACTGGATGGATAGGAAATAAGGCTCATCCAGTTGGGCAACACACTGAAGGCTGTACACTTCTAACACAATTTTCCTGCCCAAAAATGAAACCTGTATTGGTAAGGAAGGTGAGAGAGATGTTTAAAGAGACAGGTGACAAAAATCTCCATCCCACATGAGTGTTGAAGCAGAGATGAAGAGGGCAAGTTGCTAGGCACAAAATCTTTTCATACATCCATAAACTTGATTAATTGTATTGAAACTTAGGCTTTAGCTAAGAACATCTATTTAAGTATTAATTGTTGAGTATTTGCTGTTTTTATATATTTTTATGTGTTGTTAACTGCCCACTATGGGGTAGTATACAAAATAAAATAAATAAATTAACAAATAAACATTTTCACAATACAGTGTATGAAATGGAAGAAGAAATTGTATTTCCTCATGTTTGCCAATTTTAAGTGGCAAATTAGTTGTTTGCCTCTTTTTTCTGTTTGTCATGTCAGTTTATGCTTTACCTAACACAGGAAAAGGAACATTTTTCACAGCTACTTTTTCTGGAAATTACAGGGACCTTGTCTTGCTCTTGTCTAAAGGTGGGAAACAGGACCTAAATAATTCCCCATCAAGGTCCCTTATGTTGTCAAAACAACCTAAATTAACAAGGTTGAGGAATTTGACAACTATTTTTGCATCCTTATTTTGTTCTAGAACTTGAATCTAGGATTACCTAGAGCTCAGGATGTTAATTTTCAAAAGTGTTGGCATTGCTCACCGTTTTTCTGAAGTGGCATGTTGATCATTAGTCACTACACACTTAACAGCGTAACACAATGTAACACATCACAACACAAAACATAGAGATGGAGAGACAGAAGGGACCCTATAGATTATCATATCCAGCTGCTGCCAAAGAGGCACAGTGGGGAACTGAACTCCCAGCCTCTGGGCTCCACAGCTATGCAGTTTTCCTGAAAATAAGCCCCAGTATGATTTTTCAGGATGCTCGTAGTTGGGTCAAATTCATGTTGGTAGCTTCAGTGACACTGTCCAACCATCTCATCCTCTGTCATCCCCTTCTTCTCTTGCCTTCACATTTTCCCAACATCAGGGTCTTTTCCAGGGAGTCTTCTCATGAGATGGCCAAAGTATTATGTAGGCATCCTTCAGTCTCAAGAGACTATGGTATCGTGCTCTGTATGGAGGTCTTGGAACAGTGTCTTGTGTGGCTGAGAAGGCCAATTCGAGAGTGACAATCCCTTCTACACTGGAGACAAATCCAATCTGTCCCCTGTCCAGCTCCCTGGTTTTGCTTGTTTCGGGACTGCCTCTTTGCCTCAGTCTGCTGTACAAGTGTCTCTTCAAATTGGGAGAAGCCATGATGCACCGCCCGCCTCCAGGCTGAACGCTCAGACGTCAAGGTTTCCCATCTGTTGAGGTCCATTCCTAAGGCCTTCAGATCCCGCTTGCAGATGTCCTTGTAACGCAGCTGTGGTCTCCCTCGGGGGCGGCTTCCCTGCACTAATTCTCCATACAGTAGATCTTTTGGAATCCGACCATCAGCCATTCTCACGACGTGCCCAAGCCAACGTAGACGGCGCTGTTTCAATATTGTATACATGCTGAAAATTCCAGCTCGTTCTAGGACTACTCTATTTGGAACTTTGTCCTGCCAGGTGATACCAAAAATGCGTCGGAGACAACGCATATGGAAGGTGTTCAGCTTCCTCTCCTGCCGTGCACAAAAGGTCCAGGACTCGCTGCAGTATAGGAGTGTGCTCAGGACACAGGCTCTATAGACCTGGATTTTGGTGTATGCCGTCAACTTCTTATTAAGCCATACTCTCTTTGTGAGTCTAGAGAACATGGTAGGGCAATCTTAATTCCGGCTTGGGATTCCTCCAGTCCGGCCTTTCGCATGATGCATTCTGCATATAAGTTACATAAGCCGGGGGACAATATTCATAAGGGATTTTGTTTAGATTATACCTGAATAGCCCACTGGTTTTTCCTACTTTCTTCAGTTTAAGCTTGAATTTTGCTATAAGAAGCTGATGATCATAGCCACAATCAGCTCCAGGTCTTGTTTTTGCTGACTGTATAGAGCTTTTCCATCTTTGGCTGCAGAGAACATAATCAATCTGATTTCGGTATTGCCCATCTGGCAATGTCCATGTGTAGAGTTGCCTGATGTGTTGCTGGAAAAGAGTGTGACGACCAACTAGTTCTCTTGAGACAACTCTATTAGCCTTTGCCCTGCTTCATTTTGAAGGCCAAACTTACCTGTTGTTCCTTTTATCTCCTGACTCCCTACTTTAGAATTTAAATCCCCTATAATGAGAACATCTTTCTTTAGTGTCAGTTCTAGATTGTGTCGTAAGTCTTCATAGAATTGGTCAAGTTCAGCCTCTTCAGCAATGGTGGTTGGTGCATAAACTTGGATTACTGTGATGTTGAAAGGTCTGCCTTGGATTCGTATTGAAATCATTCTATCATTTTTGAGATTGTATCCAAGTCCATCTTTTCCCACTCTTTTGTTGACTATGAGTGCTACTCCATTTCTTCTACAGTATTCTTGCCCACAATGGTGGATATAATTGTTTGAACTGAATTCGCCCATTCCCGTCCATTTTAGTTCACTAACGGCCAGGATGTCAATGTTTATTCTTGCCATCTCCTGTTTGACCACATCCAGCTTACCAAGGTTCACAGATCTTACATTCCAGGTTCCTATGCAGTATTTTATTTTTGCAGCATCAGACTTTTCTTTCACTTCCAGGCACGTCCACAGCTGAGCGTCCTTTCGGCTTTGGCCCAACCACTTCATTAGCACTGCAGGTTTTTGTACTTGTCCTCCACTCTTCCTCAGTAGCATGTTGGACGCCTTCCGACCTGAGGGGCTCATCTTCCAGCATCATATCTTTTGGCCTTTTGTTTCTGTTCATGGAATTTTCTTGGCAAAGATACTGGAGTGGCTTGCCAGTTCCTGCTCCAGGTAGATTACGTTTAGTCTGAACTCTCCACTATGATCTGTCCGTCTTGGGGGTCCCTGAACAGCATAGCTTCTCTGAATTACTCAAGCCCCTTCACCACGACAAGGCAGAAATCCATGAAGGGGGAAGTAATAGTTAAATACTGGTAATTACATCAAAAGGGGAGTGATATCACCAATCACTATGTCCTTTCATAAAAATATCATTTTTATTCCAACTATCCAAAAAAATAAACTGTTAAATAAAGTGTCATTGCCTTTAACACATTACTTCCAAGCTCTGAGATTAGCATGAAACAAGAGCTGGAAAGCAAACATTTTCAAAATGGAGGGGGTATCTGCTTTTCGATTCCTCCCTGACACAAAGAGTAGAATTGCTATTGCACAGTAACAACAATTTGACAGAAGGAGGGAGGGAGGGAGGGGTCCTGTGATAAAGATATACAATGGTGCCTCAACTTATGAATGCCTTGACCTACAAACATTGAGTTACGAACAGCTCCATTCACAACATTTTGCTTTGACTTGCGAAGAGCTTTGAATTACGAACAGAAAAAAGGCAGGGGAAAAGGGCGGGAAATTCAAATAGCTAACTGTAGGTGGCGATGAGGCTGCTTCTTTGTAGCTCTTTCACCTCAGCAGTTAGAGAGAGAGCGATCTGAGGAGGCTGCCTGCTAAGGTATGGTGCTGTTTTATACTTTTAAAAAACTGTTCTGGGTATTTTTGCAGCGTGATTTTCGGCTCGAGGAGTTATGTTTCCATGCTGTGATGGGTCTTGGAGGGGTGTTTGTTTTTTGGGTTTTTCCCCCCATTACCGATGGGGGGGGGTTGGCTCCTTTTTGGAGTGTTTTTTCCCGTTTCTGATGGGTCTTGGGGAATTTGTGTTTTTTGTGCCCCCCCCATTTCCAATGGGTCTTGGGGGTTTGGTTGCTTTTTGAGTCCCCCCCCCATTTTTTATGTGTCTTGCATGCTTTTTGCTTTGTTCTCTTTGCATTTCTGATCTCCTCTGTTTTTGCAATGGTTCCTGCATGCTTCCCTTGCAAATCAGAAACGTTTTTGCAAGGGTCTGTGCTGGATTGGTTTAAAATGTGTTGGTGTAAAATGTGTTTGTTTAGCATCTGTTTTAGACTCCAAACTCTCTCCCTCCCCCATTGTCTTCGCTCTGTGTGTGTCTCGCTCCTTTCCTGCCCCTTTTTTAACCCAAGTCATTTTAGGTTAAAAAACATACTCTCTCCCTACTGGTAGAGGATGGATTAACCGGTTTTGCATTAGTTCCTATGGGAACAAATGCTTTGACTTACAAACCGTGCCTTGACATAAGAACAAAAAACAGCCGGAACGGATTAATCGGGTTTCAATGCATTCCTATGGGAAATGCTGCTTTGACTTATGAACACCATTCCATTACGGATTAAGTTTGTAAGTCAAGACACCACTGTACATCCAAACAGACTGTTCTTGCAATGTCATTTAGAAAATATAAATAAATTTAAAAATAAGTAGTAGAAAAAAATCTCCCAAGCCCAAAGACACACTGGAGAAAATAAACCTTCTCAGCCCTACAAGTTATGAGAGAGAGAGAGAGAGAGAGAGAGAGAATGTATCTAATACTTTATATTTATTACATTTGCTTGCTACCATATAGAGAAAATTTAGTGGGAAAAAATTAAGAGAAATTCATTTCCAAGAGACTTCTAAAAATCTGATTAATTGAAATAGACCGCAGACTTAGAAATAGCAAATGTTGATTAACAGTTCACAGAGTTGTGTTGGTTTTTTCAGTAAAAAAGATGAGATGAACCTGGAAGAGTATGTGTTGCTTTTTTTAAAAAATGACAAAAGCTTACCTAGCTTTAAAATTGGCTTTTGCTGACTGGCCGGAGCCTGCAACAGAAGCAAGCCTAATCCAATTATGGCCATATCGAATGGAAAATCCTAAAGAACAGAGAAAAATATGCTAGCTGAAATATTTTCAATCACAACAGTCTATGGAAAGAAACAGTCTTTACAACATTTTCCACTCTCATTTTTGGCCATGCAGCAAGTTGAATATAATATGTTTGTTTAAGCTCAGCCTTTGAAAATAATTCAGGTCCCCTTCTGATGATAGTGGCACGAGGGCAATTTTGGCTGTCTTTTTGCATTAGTCTCATAACCCTGGATGTCCAAGATCTGACAAGCTGGGTAGACAGCTACTTTCCATGTCACATTACACCTCCTGAGCATTGGGGCTTTAGTCATGGGAAGGAGCCCTCTCCTGAGCTTTCACAGTTCCAGCTGAGGATCCACAAGCACTCGTGCTGTCCTCTTTCTAACAGAAAAGTCCTAGGCCAGAGGTCTTCAGCCTTTCTGGTGTTGTTAGACTGCAACCGCTGATAATCCCAGCTGCAGTGAGGAGTTCTGGGAGTTGTAGTCCAACAACATCTAGAGCAGTGGTTCCCAAACTTGGGCAAAGCAGGTGTTCTTGGATTCCAACTCCCAGAAACCTTCACCACCAGTTGTGCAGGCCAGGATTTCTGGGAGTTGCAGTCCAAGAACGCCTGGAATACCCAAGGTTGGGAGCCATGGCTCTCTAGAGAATGAAGGTCTGCACAACCCTGTCCCAGACAAAAGATGCATGTTCTGAGACAGCATACGGTACAGCCTTTCAGGACTGTTCCATTCTGGAAGAGAGTCTGGGGTAGGATAATACAAATGGTGTTCCATCTCTCTCTATAGCAGCCTAGCATGTCTAGGAGAAGGGTAAAATCTTTTTACGCTGGCTTTTACGCAGTTTTCCATATGTATTTCAAGACAGCATGTTTGGAGGGCTGTTGTAAGAAACTGAACATCCAACAAAAGGAAAGGGCTGTAGTTCACTTGCAGTGCACATGCTTTGTACATAGAATCATAGAACAGTTGGAAGGGGCCTATAAGGCCATCAAGTCCAACCCCCTGCTTGATGCAGGAATGCAAATCAAAGGATATCTGCCAGGTGGTTGTCTAAGATTCTCACATATAAGATGCCATGTTCAATCCCTGATGTATGCAATTAAGGCTGGGGAAGTCTTGTGTCTGAAACCCAGGAGAAAAACTGCTATTCAATGGCTGAAATTCTGTTTAGCACAGTAAGTTGCAAGAGTTGGCCCATTTGAATCAATAGAACTTATGGAGGCATCAATTCACCAAACGCCCAGTGATTCAACAGGCCCATTCTAGTTGTGACTTCTTATACCAGGGGTCTCAAACTCGCAGCCTGCAGGCCATTTGTGGCCCGCCGGATGACAGTCTGTGGCCCCCACCTTGCCTGCCCCCCCCGAAGCACCCACGTGTCCTCTGCTGTCAAGAATCAAAAAAGCCTCGCCTCGCTCGCCGGCTCTCCCTCAAGACAGCGCCTCTTTCGCCCTCCATCTGGAACTGCAGCTTGCCAGCCAGCCCACCTGTCGGCTGGCTGGCAGGCTGCAGTTCTGGATGGAGGGTGCAAGAGGCGCTGTCTTGAGGGAGAGCCGGCGAGCGAGGCGTGCTGCCGGCCCTTTTCCCCAAGCTGCCGCTGAGCAATGCCTAAGAGAGGAGCTCACTTCTGGCCTGTCCTTGAAGAGCGCCTCCAGGCTGCCAACAGCAGCTGCCGCCGCCACTGCCTCTTCCAGGGAAGTGGATCTCTGGCTCTCTTTCTCTCTCGGCACACCCAGCACCAGCCCAGCCAGTGGCCACCGCGCAAAGTTTGCTCCTCTGTCATGGTGGGGGTAGCTGCTGCTGCTGATTGCGCCTTTTTTTGAGGGGGCCCTCAGAGAAAGGTTGCCAGACCTCCGTGTGTGTGTGTGCGTGCACACCTGTGGGAAGCTGCCCCGTTCTGTTTAATTTTGCGGGTACCGGTGGGGGCTTTTCTCCTTTGGCAAGGCAAATTCTGTGAGGGTTTTTTTAATTTTATGTCATGCCCTCCTCTCCCCCCCCCCGGCTAGGCGGTTGCGAGGAGTCCCTCCCTTCTCCGTTTCTTCGTCCTGCTGCTGCTGGAGGTAGTGAAGAAGGAGCCGGAGGGGGTTGTGGCCGGCGACAAGGGCTTGCACGCCCCTCCTCCAGCCGGGCTAAGGAAACTCCTGGGCGGCTTCCTCGAGCTCTTGCTCCGCTTGGCGGAAAATCTGAGGCAGCCCAGCCTCAGCCAGACTCTGCCTCCAGCGGCCCCCAGGTAAATTGAGTTTGAGACTCCTGTCCTATATTAAGCCAATGACAGCAGAAGATCAACTAGATACACCAAAGGCCTGGCTAAGACTGCTTTGTATGGACAACTTCCTATGAATAGTTTCCAGACAGATTCTATATAAATAGGAGCCTCTACGTGGGTGATCTCCAGAGATCTGGGGGTGCACACACCCATCCTGGACCTTGGATGTCTGCACTCACTACCTCCACCTTGATTTTTTTTTCTCATAAAAATGGAGAGGGAGGTGTTTCAAACTGACTCCCATCAGAGTTGGAATCTCTATTATTGTTATTGTCCTGATTCATCAATTCCAGTCTCCAGAGTTCAAAAGCCATCCTCTCTTTCTCTATCTCAATTTCTCTTTGTCTCATTCTTTCCTCCCTGTCTCTCTCCTCAGCTTCCCTTTCCATTTGTAAAGCCATTCTTTCTTTCTCTAACCCTAGCTGTTTCATTCTGTATTCATGTGCTTGCGCTAACTCCAATCTTCTGAGGTCTGCTAAATCTTCTCTTGAGGACTCTCCCTCTTGAGCTGAGGTAAATCTTTCATCCACCTCACTAATCTCATCTGAGCCGGCTGCCATTTCAGCTTGCCTTTGTTCAGCCATTTTTCCCCTGGTCAAGGGCATTTCCTTTTATTCAGGCCTCTGAACCACTTTCAGGCCTCAATCTAAAATCCACTTTTTCCCTGTCAGCAAGTCTGTGATATAAAGTTGCTGCTGCTTCCCCACGCTGTCCAGCTAGCAAATGTAACTAGGCTTTCAGCCCTTTGCTAGGCCTCCTGCCAAAACAGAGTTTTTTCTTTCTCTGCCTCAGGCACAAATCTTGACCCCACACAGCTCTACCCTAACTCAGGTTTAGCTGTTTACACAGAGTTCCCTCAGCTTCACTGCCTTTGCTCCGCTTTGTCCCCTCAGAGTTATCCCTTAAACCAGTGGTCCCCAACCTTGGGCCTCCAGATGTTCTTGGACTGCAACTCCCAGAAGCCTTCACCACCACCTCTGCTGGCCAGGATTTCTGGGAGTTGAAGTCCAAGAACATCTGGAGGCCCATGGTTGGGGACCACTGCCTTAAACTCAGGACAAGGTAGCCAAACTGCCACAGATTTCAGCCTTGGGCAACTCTTTCCACAAAAATGGTCACCACAGAGCTTCCCTGTCTTAGTCCCCCAATCTGAGTTTGCACGCCCTTCTACTAGACTCTTTCCCCATGAGACAAGTCCTAGAAGGTTACCCACGCGCTCCCTCAGACGTCCCTGACTAAAGACCCCTGCTCTGGGCACCTTTCCAGTCAAGGCTTCACTGGATCTTCGAATCCCACGAGCTGCCACCAATTTATTGTGACGGCCTTCCTCACTACTCACAAAGGGAAGTCATCATGTCACTTTAAAAACCCTTCACTCTTCTTTACTGCCACCAACCATTCCTTAATGAATAAATCATACAGCAGGCCAGTATAACTTTTAAAAATAAAAAACTTGGTTTATTAAATACAAAAAGAAAGGAATGGTAAATCACTGTTAAAGAAATAATCAATTACTGTTTCTCAGGCACTAGCTCTCACAGACTCTTTCACACTGACACTAAGATTACTTTAACTCGCAGCTCAGACACTCATCTCTCATCTATCTGCTATCTCCTGTCTCCTATCTGACCCACTCACACCTCACACACACCTTATATATCACAGCTCCTCCCGCCTCTGCACCACCCTCCGCCCTCTCATTGGCTGAGATTTTCCCTCCCAGCTGTGACGGACAGGTTATGCTATGGCTGACCGTAACACTTATATACCGCCCCACAATGCTTAAATCACTCTCCTGATTGTTTACTACATAATTATATCAACTACACACTGTCCTCCCAGAAAACTAGGTACTCAAATTGACCACTTCATAAGGATAGAGGACTGAATTCGCCTTGAGCTGGCTACCTGAACCCATCGGGACTGAACTTAGGTAGTGAACACAGCCTTGATTGCAGTACTACAGTTTAACCACTGGACCACAGGGCTCCATTTGAATCCGCAGATCACATATTTCCCACCATTGCTGGAGTGTTCTCATTATTCCCAGATGGAACAACATGAGGCCAGACGTTGGAAATTTCAGACATGTTGCCCTACTATTCCTATTAACCATACTGTACTCAATGTGATCAATGATAAGGGATGGTAGGAGTTGCAATGCAAAACAACAAGAGGGCCTAAGTTTCCCATAACCTCCAACTATTTCCCATAAGTATTAAACTTTAAAAAGCCAAAAGCTCTTAGGATTCTGCTATTCCTGTATCTCCTGAAGCTACAGCCGTATGTTACTTTGATATGCAAAAGCCTTAAGGTAACAATACTTTAGTATTTGCTATCTCAGTTATTCCATGCTTCCTTATAAAACAATTCCTCTGTACAGCCTACCTCTTTCAAGATCTCCACATTTTCTTCTATCAAGCAAATTAAAGATGAACATTCCCCTGTGATCTTCAGGCAAACCTCACAAAAGCACAGAAGTTGCAGACAGAGCTGGCATAAATGGGCTTTCCAAACAGTAGGGTAGCGTACCAGACTCCAAAATAAATCTTCCAGAAAATGCAGCATTTCTGTTACCTGTGGCAGATCTTTTATCTGCAGAAGGAAATGAAAAAACATTCACACAGGCACACAGGTACTATTAGCAAGTCTTAATGTTGCAGGGTTTCTGTATATAAAAATGTGCCTATCCAAGGATTCTTCTTCTTCAGGGCTATTGAAAATGCAGAAGCACTGAAATCGCCTATACTGTATGCCATCCAATCACCTGCTTCTTCTCATCCTATTCTAGTAATACACCACACTTAACATGGTGAGGAATTTCTTACCTGGTGGGTGCTTTAATTTGGCTTACATTGACAGTTTCTGGTGATTTAACTAAATTCCTAATCCCAACTCTGTTGGAGGAAGGCCGACTGGACCCTGGGCCCTCCCCCAGCTAAAGAGAAACTCTTCAAGTTTCAAAAAGGCAGAAGAGTGGGCAGATTGCCTGCGGTTGTCCTCTATTTTAAGAGATGGGGCATAAATTCCAAATTGCAAGCTGAAGAAAAGCTTGAAACCAACATTCATGCTGCAGCTGTTTCTATCTCAGAAGCTTACCTGGCCTCTACTCCATCAGCCATGTGAATCTGAGACATTAAAAACAGCACACAAGTTTGGAACTGCCCACAAGAACTTCACGCACAGTCTTGAAGATGATTTATCATCAAAAGCTCGCCATTTGTTTTTGGTTTTTGTTTTACGTTCTTAATGGTCTATTAAAGATGTCACCTACTCCTGCATTTGTATTGTTTCCCTGACCATACAGCCTTTTCCTGATTCATCATATTGAGAGAGCCTAAATCAACAAAAACTAGAAATTTAGAGTGTTCTTCACATTTTTAGAAACAGCACATCACCTCAGCTCTGCTGCATGCCTGGTTTCAAATATGCCCTCTTTTCCAAGGCCATTTCTGCCATTTGGTGGAGGGAGGCAACTGTCTCAAGCAGGAGATGCTGAGACAAGGAGGAGCACCAAAATATGGAAGACAGGGCTGGATGCACCTCACACCCTACTCTATGCCCACCAAATTGTCCCACTTGCCTTCAGGTGCAATGGAGGACACTGCCTCCGCACAGTGCCCATCAATCGGCAACCCCATTAGCTTCCATACATGGAACACTGTTGGGAGAGGGGTGGTCTTGCTCTTTGCCTCTGGATACAGAACATCTTTGAGTGACCCTGCCCACTTCTACCAAGAAACGTGCATTGAGGGTGTGCATTGGCAAGGCAGCCAGCGAGGCCTCTCACCTGATAACGTGGAACCAAATCGCAAAACAGGTGAAGGAGGTGGTATTCAAGGACAGAAGGCTCTCCTTTGTCCTGAAGCCCACCTGGCTGAAGCAAGACTCGAAGCAGCCCCATTCGTAACTCAGCATGTTCCCTCGCATGGCAAGGCTCACAGTACAGATATCTTAGAAACGGTTTCATTATAACGATGTATGAACTTTCTGCACTATATTTAAAGAGAACAAAACATTGATGGAATTACACAGAAGCAAAACTGTAGAGAAATGAAAAACCAAATTACATTTTCATCATAATTTCCATAGATTTGATGACTGCACAAATGTTGTAGTTAAGAAAACTAAAGTGACATACAAAACAAGGAGAGGCTATAGCCATTGTTAGCTTTGTACTCACAGAAAGTACTAATACTCAAACAAAGCAAAGCACTGAATTTTCATCTCATACACAGAGAGAGAGAGACTTGTTAAGACAGGCAGACAGAGGGAGTATAACCCTAACTCTCTTTGTCCTGCAGGATCTTTCAGCAGCCTGATACCACTGACCATGGTATCCTCCTTGACCAGCTATCGAGCTTGGGGATCGGGGATCTAGCTTTAGGCTGGCTCCGGTCTTTCCCTGACAACCGCCTCCAGATGGCACAGCTTAGGGATGCTGTTTAGGTCCTGTGGATTATACAGTGAGGGGTCCCCCATAAAGATGGCCTCCCCCAATGCTGTTTACATTTCTATACGGCTGCTGGGAGGTCATCTGGAGATTTGGAGTGTGTTGTCATCTATATGCTGATGGCATGCAGCTCTATCTCTCCTCTTCATCTTCAGTGGGGAAAATGCTGGAGCACTGCCTAGTCTCAATTATGGACTAGGGCAAGGGCTAAGAGACTGAGGTTGAATCCTGATGGAGATTTTGTTGTTAGGAGGGGAACCTGACCAGTTAGGTGGCTTGCTGCCTCATCTGGAATGAGTTACACTCCCACTGAAGAATCAGATCCATAATTTGCATGTGCTTGTTACATACAGCACTGATGTTACCTGTCTGTCATGGGTTTGGAGGGAAAGTTCCATCCTATGGGGAGTGGAAGGCGGGACATCAGGAGGAGGGGCTGTACTGTATATATATGTGGAGCTTGTGAGAAGCTGTGAGAAGAGCTGAGAGAAGAAGCTTGAGTGGGAGTCTGTGTGTCAGACAGGGTACTACTGTGTGTCAGTCAGTACCAACCTGATAGGTTCAGGTGTCTGTAGGGTTAGCCAGAACTGATAGGTTCAGGGTCTGTGCTTTAGTTAAATGCGTTCTGTGTGAACCAAACTAGTGTATGTATGATTGAGACTAAGCCACGTTACTGTATCTTATTCATTTGATCATTTTATTTTCCCTGTGTGTTATGTAAATAAACCTTGTTCTTTTATTTGTTAAAAATCCATCCCTGGTCTGTGTGACTTCTTATAGGGAATGGTTGGTGGCAGCTTAGTGAGACTGTGGCA